ACTGTGGGGTTTTTAAGTATGTTGTGTATGACTTGATGAATTTTAACCTGTATATCCCTGTCCAGCCATCACCACAAACAATATAGAACATTTCCACTACCCTGAAAGTTCCCCTATACCTCTGCCCAGTCAGTTCTGCATCTATATTATATTATTGCATTTTTGTTAAGCCCATTTCCCCCTCATGATAAAAGCAATTCATGCTAATTGCAGAGTTCAGAAATATTTTTAAAATACAACAGAGAAAAATAAAACCTCAGGGAGTCACATTATCCAGAGTCAATATGATGATACATACATGCACGTACTATAACAAGGATAAAGAAATTTCACTACATTTCCAATTTGTCTTAGGAAAACAATTAAAGATGTGCTCAACTACATAGTTAGGGTAGTAATTCTGGTGCTGTATAGGGCAATGGAAAACTGGCAAAAACATGAAATTCCCAAAATAGTTGACTTTAAAAGTAAATTTTCATTGACCTATGATATGCAGAACTTGGCTAGAATGAAATATATTTAATATATTTAATTTCTTGACAAAAGAAATTGTTCATTAGATAGTGTCAAGTTTAAAAAACGGTGTACCACAAAATGTATAATATTATCTCACTTTAAAAATGTATAATTAAGCATAGAAAACATTTTTCTAAAAGTTAAAATGTTAGTCATGGCTATCTCTGAGTAGTAGAAATATGGATAATTTTATTTTATATTTTTCTCCTAAAGTTCCTACAATACATATTTGTGTTTTGGAAAAAAACTCATTGCAAAGTGAGAAGTCATTCTGTATTTAAAATCTTTAGGATGGATATATAAAGACCTATAGTCTGACTAAACATTGCACAGTAGGGATATAATTACCTCTGTCCACCTTGTTAGAGGTTGACCCCTCCTCCCAAGAGCATTGAGACACCACCATCAATAAACCCTTCCAGGATTCTCACCACAAGGCTGTGGACTCTCTCTGTTCCTGGGGCTCAGGGAAATGCTCAGAGGCCAGGCTCACAGGAGCAGGCCATCTGCTCTCTTACCAGTGTTGTGTTGGTAACAAACAGCTCTCAAATATTTTTTTCAAAAGCAAAGTAGCTCCAATTTGCCAATTCTGAGTAAAAATATCCCCATCGTGACCAGTTACAAACTACTAATATAACATCCCTGAAAGCAGGCTTGGAAAGAGATGCAAAACTGGCTTATGATCCTGTACATACCAGCTACTGAAATACCACTGAGCTCAACCCCAAGAGGTAAATTTTAACAAAAAAAAAAGTGTAACCTCAGTTTTCCCCATTTAAAAATGTCCCGTTACCTGTACCATAAACGCTAACATGTCAAGTAGACAGAGCATTGTCAGAGAGATGAGAAAACCGATCCTGCACTCGGGAACTGGGAGACAGGAATTGCACTGCGGGCTGAGTATACCTGCAGAAGTCTGGCTTGGTGATGCTCTATTGATGTTCAGCTAGCAGCACAGGAGACACACAAGAACTGCCAACCACCCACATCTGGGTCTAGATTCTCTTTAAAGTGACTTAGCGGATATTTATTTTAAATAAGTATTAATTCTCTTCTGGATCAAGGAGCCGAGCAGGGTTTGCAGGCATCAGGAATCCCCCTCACCATCACAACCTGCTCCCTGGCACCCAACATCTATAGCCAAGGTGAGAATAGTCAACATGGGAAAAGTGAAGATTGAGGCTCTGACGCTCTGTTCCCTGAATACAAATGAATCCCGACCTGAAGCACACTGCAGAGCAGGCTAGCCCCTTTGGGGAGCCAAGCAAAGAGCTCTCAGGCCCTGGCAGGATGCATATTCAAATATCTTGCGCTAGTTGGCCTTCCCCTTTCCGTCTGCACAGTCATATTTCATGTGCTTGCTCCAACACTCTTCACTTACAATAGTCAAAATGAATTTCCAAATATGACCCTGACCCATCGGTGCTTTACAGAGAGGTGTGCCAATCTGGACATGAGTCAGTTTCATTCACAGCTTATAACACACACGAGACACACAAGAACTGCCAGCCACCCACATCTGGGCCTAGAGTGTCTTTAAAATGACTTAGGAATGTTTATTTAAAAATAAGATATTAGTGTATGTTGAAATTTAGAAAATGAGAGGATCTCGTGAAGAACATTTAGTCCTCTGAGCCACACTTGACATGTTTTCAGGCTCGGAAAGGAACCTGAGTGTGACCCAGGACTTGTTAAGGAGGACAGGAGCCTGAGTCAGTTTTGAAGCCAAGGGACCTTCTATCATTTGTTACAAGCATCACAAGCAGTAAAGCCTGATGTTCAGGCTTAGAGGGACAAAAAAGTAAGACCTTGCCTTTGTATATTCTTGAGTTTGTTTATAAATGTACATGCGGTGGAGAAACTTGTTGGAAAGAAAATGGGGAGGGACTGGAGGAAGCATCGCCAAGTTGTCCATTGTCTTTAACAGGAAGAAACAGAAGAGGGGAGCAACAGCTTTTGGGTCTTTGTAACCTGGGTTAGAAGTGCTGGGTCTTCCCCCAGGAAGTGTGCACCCACTGTAACAAAGAGTAGCCTCCAATAGGCTTTTCTAAACACACAGAGTGATAAGGTTTTAGGCAGGCACCATTCCAACTCCATGAGGGATAAACAAAACAAAACAAACAAACAACAACAACAAAGAAAAAGCACTGGTCAGAGGGGGCTTTTGTGCATGAATAACTCAGAGCAGAAGCCAACATGGATCTGAAGACAGGGCCATCTCACAACTGGTTGTTAGCAGCACACCGTGGCCCAAAAATGAAACTGCGGGTATTAGATACGTGTACAGAGATGGAATCAAAGAATTTCATTTCTATTGAATCTGAAAATACTTAAAAGAAAGGGCTCCATTTTCTATATTTTTCAAAATTTTATTTCTCCTAGTTCATTTTCATTGTGTTTCTGTGACAAATCAGAAATAAAAAGTTAAAAATACAGATCCTCCTCGGGTGATAATTCGAGAAGCACCCTCCCTTCAAGAACAGCAGGATCTCTGAGTGCAATGGGTCAATTTGCAGGATGAGTGGGACTCAGTGGGGCCCAGGTTTGCAAGGACAGCTTCCTGAGGGAGGTACTCAGGTTGATCTTTGGAGGATGTGTAAAATCTTAACAAATGCGGAGGATCCTCAGATCACTCCCACAGCTATGAGAGAGTACTCACCCTTGGTATAAACTTGTTTGAGACATTCTGCCCCCATCTCTGCACTAGGCACAATAGGCAGATGCTGGCACTGAGGACTGAGCACTGAGTACTGTTACAGGAGTCAGAGCCCAGCATTCTGGCTCTGATGAAATCTCCCTTTATGGCACCCAGAAGAATATTTTCTCTCCCCTTAGACTGAAAGGGCAATGAGGACAGGGACAGTCTCTGGTGAATGATACCCAGCTCAAGCCTGGCAGAAGGTAACTCCCAACAAAAGTTTTGGTGAATAAACGAAGGAATAGGTTTTTCAGTTTTAATGTCCAAAAAACATGAGGGCACAGGATAGATAGGTGGCTTCCAAATTATACAATGAGAAACTTTGTGAAGTTGCCCTGTGGTCCAACTTATAAACTCAAGCCTCTACCATGAGTCTCTGTAGGATGATGAAAGAATTCCAAGGCTATTTTGAGAAATACTAAACTAGATGGTTTCTAAGGCCTCTTCTAACTCTGACTTCTATTTATTCTAAGTAGATAAAAATGCACATAATAGAGGCTATAAAGTTGTTGACTTAACCAATCCCTGCTGAACAATAAATCGATGCTACAGTATTGGGGTCCGCAGGGCCAAGCTGGCTTACAGAATTCTTAATACAAAGCTCACGAGAAGACTTTAGAAGAGGGACCCCTTGTCCCCTCAAGTTGTATGTAATTTTACATGTCATTGTTTCTCAGTTAAGAGAGCTAACGGCTTTGCTTAGCAGACATGCATGTGGTGACAGACAGAAAGAACACTACAGGAAAGTCTAGCCATTTCAGTGATTCAAGTAAGTAAATGGTCTGTCCTGTAACAAGAAGTCTAGAGGAAGAGGACCCAAGGCTGGGGCATTTGTTCAAAAAAACCATCAAGATCCAATCTGCTTCTAGCATGTGGCTTTTTTTCTTTAAGGTCCCAAGACAGTTGCTCCATCCTGGACATTGCATCTGCTTTTCAGCAAGGGAAAATGGTGTGAGTGGTGAGGGATTAGGAGTTGGGGGCGGGGGGTGCTGGTGGAAGGGAAAATCAGGGTGGTGCCAGTAGAGTCTGATTTTTTTTTTTTTTTGCTGGAAAAATCAGTTTTTCAAAGGCCTTAGCACTTTGTTTCATTGGCTAGAATTATATTGTGTGCTCAGTGTATCCTGGACAAAGACCAAGAAATCAAATTTCATAACTGTGTGATTGAAACTCTAATTTTGTGAATAAGGAAAAGCATAGAATAGGTAACTGTTAATATTTACCATAATGCCCGTGTGTGTTTCATTTTACCTTGCAAAAACAAACAAACAAAAACCCTTTACAGAAGGAGCTCACTTTAAAAAAATGTAGGAGGCTTTGCCCAGAAAAATGAAGAAGATATTGGAGTCGGAGGGACCACGTGTGCCAACCACCCTGTGTGTGGGACTGACCAGGCAACCACCATTGCTGCCCGCTGCCGGGGGCCCATGGCACCTGGGCCCTGAGCCCCAGAGCTGAGCTTCAGCTTCTTGTTTCTCTTCTCCCTGCTTTCTAGCTCCAAGCTGCCCCTGCGACATTAGCCCAGGCGGTGGCCCAGGCTGTTGAGACCCTGCCCTTCACAGAGGCTGCTGCTCTATGATTCCAGGTCCCCCACCAGGACCTAAGCACCTGAGTCAATGCTCAAGGACACCCACTTCCGGGGGCAAGAATGCAACCAGCTGCTCCAGCCTTTCCCACGGGCTCTTTTCTTCTGTCGCATTCTTTCCATCCTCCCCAGGAGGGAGTAAACTGAGTGTCCACACTTTGTTTCAGCAGAGACACTTCTTGAAGACGCGCGGGGGCCTTTGCCATGTCTGTGTGGCCATCTATCCGAGGCAGATGGAAGCAGGGGTGGAAGGAATCCACGGGGGGCTCTTTGCAGCAACCCCAAGAGGACTACGAGGCCCTGCGGGACCGCTGCCTGAAGGACCACTGTCTCTTTGAAGACAGCAGCTTCCCGGCCACCCAGAGCTCCATCGGCAGCGGGCCTCTGCTCCAGAAGCTGCCACCGCACCTGCAGTGGAGGAGGCCCCCCGTAAGGACGGCAGGGCCCATGAACAGCCACAAGATGTGGCAGTGCCCAGGGCTGGGGGCTAGTGGAGAACAGGTCTAAGAAACACAGGATAAAAGGGCTTTTCCTACTCTCTCCTCTCCACTCAACACAGCAAATGCTTCTGACACCAAATTATGGGGAAGACCCCCTCCCACCAGATAGTTCTTCAGTGGTCACCAGCTGAGTGTCCTCTGATTCAGTCCAGTTCTGACATTATCTACACTGCCCTTGCATCGGATCTCACAGGATGAGGGCTCAGTCCCCCCCACCCCCTCCAGACTTCCCTTATACGAATGTAATGGAAATGGAAATGTCCAGGATTTCTAATTTTAGAAACATATAGCTTTGGGGGATTTCAGGGAAGTAAGCAATTCTAGTCCAGCTGTTTCCTTATCTGCTTTAGCCCAAACACAGACTGCCCTGTTAGTGGAACACACAAGCTGAGCTCCTCTGTTCCTTGCTCCCCAACCCCACCCAGAGAATGCCGGAGGGAACTTTGCAAGTTGCAGAGGAAAACTCACCCTAAAGTACTTGGTTTTGGTATACAGAGATGTGGATCTGTCTAATGCAGGGACTGCCTGACACACCTTCTAGTCCATGGAGCCTGGCGACTCGTCTGTAAGGCAGACCCCACTTATGGACCCCCACTTGTAGTCAGTGATCGTGATGTGTGCAAGATTCCAGGTCTCTGAGAGGGTGCCTCACACACTCTTGAAGCATGGCAGACATGGCAGAATCTGTGACTTTTCTGGGAACTGGAGGGCTCAGTCTTGTAAAGTTGGCACCCACCTTGGATAACCTGTGCTTTTGACCCTGGACTACAGCTCAGTATTACCATGATCCACTCTTTGGGTTCTCTTCATTTGCTAGAGAGATTCATGGATCTCAGGGAAACACAGTGTTTATTATTATTAAGGATATCATAAAGGATACTGATGAACAGCCAGATGGAAGAGATAGGGAGAGGATGTAGGAAGGAGTCATGGAGCTTCTGTGCCCACTCTGGGAACCTTCATGGTTCAGCTGTCCAGAGGCTCCACAAACTCTGACTTTCAGGGTATGGGGTAGGGTTGGGGGGTTATAGAGACTTCATTACAAAGGCACAATTGAGTAGATCATTACATTTGGTGATCAACTCAACCTTCAGCCCCTCTTCACTCCCTAGAAGTCCAGGAGAGTAAGGCTGACGAGCCCTTAGTCTTTCCCAGAGATCATCCCCCATCCTGAATCTACTCCAGTCTTCTCATTAGCATACAAAAGACAGTCATCATCCTGATGGTGATTTCAATGGTTTTAGGAACTAAATGTTGTGAAAGAGGAGGGAGACCAAGTGTATACTTCACACTATCACACCAGGTCTTACTTGCTGTCATTAATCCCCAAGAGATGGGTATTGGGTAAGTTCTCACATTCCCCTTTTCCAGATGACGGGGACCAGGTGAACCTGAGAGTGGTCTAAGAGGTAGCTTATCTCTCAGGCCCTGACTACACAGAGTTCTCCAGGACTCTGAATTTTATGAGCTGTAAGAAGGACTTAGAAATAAAATGGACAGAGTCTATATCCCAGATTTTTCTGGAACAGCACTGATTTCACATAGATTCTTCATCTTTGTCCTGTGAAGTTCAGTTGTAGGAAATGAGAAAATATGGTCATTGTAGCTCCTGAGTTTCCTTGTTCTCGAACATGATGACAATTCTGTCTATCCCTTTAGGAGCTGCACAGCAACCCCCAGTTCTATTCTACCAAGGCTAAAAGGATGGATTTGTGCCAGGGAGTTGTAGGTAAGTCTGCACCCAGCCCTGGCCACCTGCGAGCCTGGCTCCACCAAGCCAGGGGTGGTAAGCAGGGGACTCCAGAGATCCCAACAGCACAGGGGCAGGCAGGTTGCAAATGTCACTCAGCAGCGACTCTACCTAACTGTACCTGGATGAGCTCTGTCCTTTGCTGGAAGTTTATAGAAACTTCCTCTCAAGATGTGTGGAAAACTCAAACTTTGCCCAGGACCCCAGATCATCCTCAGTGTCAGTTTATAGGTCTAAATTTTGTTTGAGAAAAATGAGCCTTTTATTTCACTCCCCATAGTGAGTCCTTGGGACGCCAGTTATTAGACTCTCTAGATTAGGTTCTAGCAGGGCTATCATCAACTTGGCTTTTTAAAATAGTAAACGGAAACAACTGTTGGCCCTCAGGGAAGGCACAAATACATTGTTACCCATTTTGCAGATGGGAAATTGGGTCCTGGAGAAGTGAGACTTTCTCAGAAGAACATAGATCAATCACCAGTAGGATTTAGAAAAAGTTGGTTGTGTTTGGGTCCAAATTCCTGAGGATGGCACATTTTAGGAAGCTGAAAGCTGATCCAATAATGTGGTTCAATTATTGGTGTCAAGTTTAGATTACAGGCAATGTTCCTTACCCCCTGCTCTGGTCCTTCGCTGTACCCCTTCCTAGTGTATAATTCCCGTCTCCTAAACTAGGCTAAGCCCAGGGAGGATAGCAATTGGAACTAGGTGTTTTTGTTGCACGCAAGACATCCTCAGTAGGCGCACGGAGATGCTGGCAGAATGTGCATGCGTGCACAGATTCCCGCAGCCACAGCGTGCTCTCTGGTGCAGGAGACTGCTGGTTCTTGGCTGCTGTGCATGCGCTGACTTTGCACCAGGACATCTTGAGCCGGGTTGTTCCCCTGAATCAGAGTTTCACTGAGAACTATGCTGGCATCTTCCAGTTCTGGGTGAGTGTCTCCCTGGTTCCTCAGCCTGAAGAGGGCCTTTGGAAAACAGGGCTCATAGAAGGGCCATGTCTTTGCCTCCGGGCTATCTTCCTCGGCAGTCCTCATTCACCAGTGGGCGCTCTCTCCCTCCAGTTCTGGCACTTTGGGAAATGGGTTCCTGTGGTGATAGATGACCGATTGCCCGTGAATGAGGCTGGCCAGCTGGTGTTTGTCTCCTCTACTTACAAGAACTTGTTCTGGGGAGCTCTTCTGGAAAAGGCCTACGCTAAGTAAGAAAACCACTACAAGTATTCCCCCTCCCCTCTCTTTTTTTTTTTTTTCCTCTTTCTCAGTGTTAAGGATGGAGAGTGGAATCAGGTAAAGCTAATGAAGTGTGATGCTCAGCCAATGGAGAAGTGAGAACATCTTCAGGTGTTTTCTGTAGGAGTCAGCTGAAGAAGTAGTCAGGAATTTTACCTTTCTCTAATGGATAGAGGGGTTTACGAGGGACAGGAACTCTTAGTATGCATTCTTTCTTTTGATCCTGGGCTGGAAGGAAGGCTTGGCAGATACGTGCCAAAGAGCAACCCAGGAATGGGTTCCCTGCTCATTTGGGCCCTCCCATCTATTTATAAATACCCTTTGCCTTTCCTTCTCACGTTAATTCCTTCTCTGGGCAGGCTTTCTGGTTCCTATGAAGACTTGCAATGTGGACAGGTGTCTGAAGCCTTTGTGGACTTCACTGGAGGGGTGACAATGACCATCAACCTGGTAGAAGACCCTATCAACCTCTGGGGCATCCTAAACAAAACCACCTACAGCAGAACCCTCATTGGCTGCCAGACTCGTATAGGGGTGAGAGTGGGATGTGAGGTGGCACAGGGCAGCCTCTCCTGCTCCCACCAGCTCCCTTCATCTGCCTGCTGCTGCTCTCTCCTGTGTGGGACCCAGGGCTTCCATCCAATACCACCTAGAGTCCTGATCTTCAAGCCAGGGCAGTGGAGCTAAGTCTTCAGGGCATGGTAGAATAAAAATGGTGTGTAGAGAAGAGAGGTATTAAATATCAACTACATGCAACATCCACGTCCAATTCAACTACAACAAAGAACTGAGAACCAGCATAGAGAGCCCTCAGTTCAGACCTACCTCAATGATCCCTGTAACCTCACACAGTGACTTAGCAATTGATCGGAGTTTGTCCTCTGTAAAACGTAGGTTACAATCACTTCCAAGTGGCTCATTTGTTGTTGAAAAGGTCAAATGAGACTATGGATGGTGAAGAGTTTTGAAAGCTGTGAGGTACCACATCATTTTGATTCTCTTCTACTTCTCTCTCCAAAAACCGCTGCTCCCTCCAAGTTCATTCCAGGCCTCCCACGATTCCTGGAATGAGCTGCACGCAACTAATGACTGACTGGGGTCTCTCTTTTGTCTTTGCAGGAGGAGAGAGTGCAGGAGAATGGGCTGGTGGATGGCCATGCCTATACTCTCACAGCAATCAGGAAGGTGGGGTTAACTAGGTTTCTCATATCCCTCTCAGCCTCCTCCTTTCCCAAGGCTTCTTACCAAAGCCTTGGCTCATCTTGGTGAATGCTATTTGTGCCCAGTCTTGTATTAAAGTAATCAAGGATCCTCCAGGGCCTGCCAAAACTGGTGGTGGACTTCCAGTAACTCTGTACCTATTTTGGGGGATAAAGTGTTGGGCCTAAGCTTTGCCACTCCCAATGCATCATTTCAGCCTCTCCTAATGGGTCACCCCTCAGCTAATCAGCCCTGCTGTGCTTCACTTCACTGGATGGCTGATGGCAGCCTTTGGCCCGGTTCTTCCCTCCCAGGTTACCGCTTCTCTCTCTCATGCTACTCTCCAATAGTCTCTCAGGTTCCTCCGATTGATATTCATCTTTTAAGCTTCACAGTGCACTGAGAAGAAGGATCAGACAGGCACTCTGCCCACAAATTGCTTAGTGTCAAATATGGACACCTTGAGAAGGCTAAAGAAGCAAAGTTAAAATGGAGAGAGGAGAGCATACAGGAAAGACTTTGAGGGCCCAGAAGTAGAAGAGAAGACATTCACCAGTTGGCTTGGGGAGAAGTCAGAAAAGGCTCCACAGAAGAGATGGCATGGATGGGCTCCCACAAGATGGGTAGATCCCTAAGAAAGAGAAGGGCATTCTAGTGGGGCAGGGATGCTGCATGGGCAAAGCATGGAGGTAAGAAATCTTTAAGATCCTCTGACATTCCCTTGAGAGCCAGACTCCCCCAAAACTTTCCTTTAACTGTTTCAAATTTCTTGCATTCAACTCATTTGTAACTTCATACTTCTTGATCTCCAACAGCCATGAACTTTCATTTATTTTCATATTTATTTAACAAATTCATATAGCACTTGCTGTGTGCTAAGTACTATTTTAGGTGTTGGGCTACATTAATTTCTGCCTCTGTTTTTACGTGACCTTCTCCTTCGGTGTCTTCTCCCTTTCTCTTATCTTGCAAGAATGATAATCTTTGGATTTAGGACCCACTTCCTAATCCAGGATGCTCTCGTCTCAAGATCCTTCCAAACAGGATCACATTCACATGTTCTAGGTGGTCAGATGCTTTGGGGATCCACCATGTAAGCCACTACCATAGCGGTGACGGTTAGCTTCATTTTATAGATCCAGAAACTGAGAGACAGGAGGTTAAATCATCTGTTCTGGGTCCCGCAGCTAGCAAGTGCAAGTAGCAGGGCCACTTTCTACCGTACCAACTCTTCAGGTCTTTGATTTTCCTTTGCAAGTTCTCAGCTGCAGGTCTGAGTCTCACCCAGATATCTGGAAAACTTGGCACTTAGCCAAGCCACTAAACTGCTTCTCATTTTATGTAGGTGACCTGCAAATATGGACCCGAATATCTAGTGAAACTACGGAACCCCTGGGGGAAGGTGGAATGGCAAGGAGACTGGAGTGACAGGTTTGGACTGCTGGGGAATGGGAAGAATCAGGTGAAAAAGGAGGCTGCCATTTGCACACAAATTCAGATGTGTGCTTCCTTTGGCCTTAGGCTGGATTTAGAAAGCTTTCAGAGTGTGAAGCTCCATCTCTCACAATTTAAAAGATGCTTTATGGTATATAGGTCACTTTCTCTTTTTTAAAAATATTTTTCAGTTGTTGATGTACCTTTATTTTTTATTTGTTTATATGTGGTGCTGAGGATTGAACTTAGTGCCTTACACATGCCAGGCAAGTGCTCTGCCACTGAGCCACAACCCCAGCCCGCACCCCCCACCCCCATCACTTTCTGTTTTGTTAGAATAATTAAAGTCAATGTTTATTGAGGACTTGCTAGAGATATGCTAAATCCTTTGATCTTTCACTACCTATTCAGTTTCCCCAGACAGTGCTATATAAGGTCTGTAGCTGCATTTCCACTTTACTAATGGGAAAAAACTGATGCTTAGATGAAGATTTGCTTCCGGTCACATAGCATGACTCAATGAAGGTCTATGGTACCTCAGTGTAGTGTTCTATCTCTGGAGTGTCCAATGCATTCTTGCGCTTGTTGAGTCAAAGTTAGAGAAATTTGAATTGATAGCTACTGTCTAGTTACCTTAGTGACTTCTGGGCATTCTGACTGAAAGCCTACATTTAGGTTGTTTTTGCCTTAAGGAAGCTTAAAAGAGATGTGGGTTTTACAGGGAACAGACTGGGTATAGGGCATAGATAGGAAGAGAGGCCAAGTGTGAGAGTCTCTCTGCTCATTATGAAGAGTTGCCATTTTTAACCCTGTGTAACACTACAGAGTACACAAATATGTCCACATCTACATTATACTTGACCATTTTTGTAGATGAATAAATTAAGACTTGGAAAAGCAGGTTGAATTTTGCCCCAATAGTATGTGCTGCTTTGAATAAATTGACAGAGGTGACAGAAGAACTGAGTCTATGTGGAAAAATGTCACCCTCCCAAAATGCTTAAATTCTAAAGTGCTACAGAAATATATCATTATAGTGTTGGTGGTGACTGTTCACTTCCTAGGACAAGTACTAACATTAGAGATAGGCGATGAGTCAAATTATCGTTTTGTTACTTTCTATCTATATCATCTAAGGCAAGTTTCATAATTTTTCTGAACTAGAGGTGTGGTGAAGATTAAATAAAAATAGGGATAGGCTGGGGATGTGGCTCAAGCCATAGTGCGCTTGCCTGGCATGCGTGCGGCCCCGGGTTCAATCCTCAGCACCACATACATACAAAGACGTTGTGACCGCCAAATACTAAAAAAATAAATATTAAAAAATTCTCTCTCTCTCTCTCCCTCTCTCTCTCCCTCTCTCTTAAAAAAAATAAAAATAAATAAAAATAGGGACTTTTATTCTATAATGTTTTATCTGCTGCTAATCCCATCCAGTGTATTTTCCATTTCAAATACTATATTTTTCAATTCTAGAAATTCCTTTTCCAAATCTCCCATTTCATCTCCCAATATGTCTGTATTTCCTTTTACATCCTTGAGAATACGGAGTATGGTTATAAAAGCTATCTTCACATGCTTACCTGTTATTTCCATCTTAATTATCTGTTAACTTTATCTATATTGGTTTCTACTGACTGTTTTTATTCCTGGTCATGGATCACTTTTCTGCTTCTTCATGTGACCAGTAATTTTTTTTTTAAAAATTGGGTGCTAGACATTGTAAATTTTATTTTCTGAATGTGGAATTCTATTGTATTCTTTTAAAAAGTTGGGCTTTTCCTGCCAGGTCGTCACATTGTTTAGGGATGGTTTGGATACTTTGAAGTTTTCAAGCACTTGTAGGGCAGGTTAAGAGAAACTTTTATTTCAGTGATAATTTGACTCCACTACTAACCTGAAGACCCTCTGGGATCTCTAGTGAAGACTTTATGTATTCTAAAGGGTCTTTGAACTCTAGCTGTTGGAAGTTCACATGATTCCCAGCTCTGGCTCACCTCTGAGTATTGTTCTGTCTATAGACCAGCCTTATGCAGTTTCATTTGAAGAAAGCACAGATAAAATTTCAGGCACAGGCTCAAGGGAACCCCTGTGAAGTTTTCTGGAGCTTCTTTATGGAGCGCCCCCACCCCACTCCCCCCAGGCACTTGGCCCAGTACATTTTAGCTGCCTTGGTTTCCTGGAACTCCGGACTCTATCTTCTCCATTCAGCAGGACTGACAGGTTCTTTTTTGTATTCCACTTCCTGTATCACTATCCCGGAAACTCCCTCAGGAAGAAGCCCAGGTGATGTGAGGGCTCAGCCCAGGGCTTCCTTCCTCCCAGGATCACAGTCCTGTGCTGAACACTGCCCAGTGTCTGAGAATCATTTCTTATATTTTGTCCCACTTTTGGTTGCTTGTGGCAGGAGGCTAATATAGGACAGTTTTACTCCTTCATAGCCAGAAGTAGAAGTTTAATATGACGGGCTCTGAAAATAAGCAATTCCAGACTCAAATGCCAGCTGTGACATTGAAGAGTTTTGTGACTTCAAGCCAGTGACTTGATCGCTCTTAATCTCAGTTGCCTGATCTCCAAAATGGAGATCAATGTCTCTCTGTCAAAGTTGTTGTTAGCCTTAAGTGATGCTAGCCTTAAATGAAATAAAGTACATCAAGAGCCTCGCCTGGTGCTGGGCTTAGAGTAAGTGATTGACTAATGTTACATGTTGATCTCATAGTGCAGACTGTAAGATTTAGTTGTCTGCAAAACAGTCTGAAAATAATACTAAATAATGACTCCACTGAGCATTTACTAAAGAATTTCTGGCATGTTCTTCACAATCTTGTCATTCCTCATGAAAATGTATCTTTTCTATTTTCAGTTCGAGAAAATGGGAGCTGCTGAGCCCCAAGGAGAAGCTTCTGCTTCTGAGGAAAGATAATGATGGAGAATTCTGGTATTTGACTTGGGGATTTTGGGACACATGCCCTGGCTTACATTCAGCAAATATTTTCTGGGTGCCTCATATATGCCAGGCATCTCATATAAAGAGGTCAGTAAGGCACACTCCCTTAACGGGCTGCCAGTCCAGCAGGGCCAAAAGGGAAATACACTGTCACAGTCCCTGGGATCAGAACCAACACTCAACAATGGCTCAGTGCCCAACACACCTAGAAGCCAACTCTGTGGTCCCCAGTTTTTATAACAAGACCTTTCACTGGAGGCCACCAAACAAGGGGGCAGGTAGCAAGTTCATCTCCCTGATCCACAAGTAGGGGAGGAATTTAAGCATCCCAAGGTTAAGGGAAACGGGGTTGACAGGTTGCAGCCAGAGTCTTGTATGCAGGTCCAGGTGGAAGGTGATGATAATTTTGCTCTGTCCTGTGACTGTTGACGGCACCCCTCCCTTCTGCTCCAGGCCTAGCAGGCACTGCTCTCCTTCCTCAGATTCCATTATGTTCCCTTGGAGACTTTGGTTCTAAGGTCATTTTAGGGCACCTGCATTTTGGGAAAAAAAAAAAAAAAGCTTGAACTTTTTCAGGAACAGGTGAAGATGCCATTTTGAGGGAAGGATCTTTGACATGGAGCCCAACGTGTGCTCCAAGCAGGGCTGGGAGGCAGTGGCCTCTCGGGCCTCCATTTTGCTCTCTGCTCAGTACACTCAACACAAGGTTTATCTTTCCTGTCCTGAAAAAGGAGATGAAGACGGAATGGACTACAGAGTCTCGTCAAATGACAGGCCCCCTGATCTGGGCCCTGCCGAGCAGAGTCACACTACGCCTTGTCACCCCAAAGCTACCTCCCAAGATAGCCCAAGTGGACCCTGCTGCTGCTGGAGTCCCACAGAGCCCCCTCTGCTCCCTCCACCTTTGTTTCCCACCCTTTCTATTTACCTCACCCATGTCCCGTGGACTGGTGTTCTCCCCTTACCCGTCCACACTGCTGTGGGGCCCTCACTGCCGAAAGTCTTTTGCTGAACTCTAGAGCCCTGCAAATCCTGTCTTTCTACCCTCCAGATGAGCAAACTGAGCCCCAGAGAGCCTATGTAGCAGGACTCAGCTCACAGTTATCATGTGGGGGTGAAGATCTTAATTAATAACCGGGCACTCACCCACATAGTGCCTATTGAACATCATCAGTCAATTGACTAGTTGAGAACACCTCAGTTTGGCTTTAGTCACTTTCACACAGAAGCGGGACCAGCATCTTCAATATTAACAATGCTAAAAGCCAGAGGGCATGGGCTTCTTGGGGCTCCACTTCCCCTGATGGACCATCACATGGATCAGGCTCACCCCATTCCTGCCTCCAAGGCCAGCTGGGCTCTGCACAGAGCCTGGAGGACAGGGCCTTGGTCTGAGAGAGGGTGGGGTGCCCAGACCACGGCCCCATTCCTGATGTGTGTCCTTAGGACAGGGCATCATCTCACTTGTCTGTGCTGTTTCCTCTTCTTCTCCAGGATGTCTCTGCAGGACTTTAAAGCACATTTTGTGCTTCTGGTCATCTGTAAACTGACCCCAGGCCTGTTGAGCTTCGAGGTGGGCCAAAAGTGGATGTACACCATGCAGGAAGGGAGATGGGAGAAAGGGAGCACAGCTGGAGGCCGGATGAAGTCCTCGTGGCAAGGTGGGCACACATTGGGCTCTAGGATTGGGGATGCCATGTGGGGGAGCCCATCCAGATGGTCCCGTAGACTGAGCCCTGTATGTGTGGCTGAGGAGGAGGGGGCTGTGCTTGTCAGCTGCCCACTCTAGTCCTGGCCTATGTCCTCAGGGAAGAGGGGCCACCTTTGGTCCCAGTTTGCACAGATGTACAGTCCTCTCTGCAAGCTCTCAACTCTGGGTCTGCATCTTTCCCAAGTAGTGCCCCCTCTAATCCACACCAAGGGGACACAGGCACACAGGCGTGGTCACTGAGTGGGTGAAATCTTTCTTCAGTTTTTGGATAAGAACACTGATGCATCAAAGTAACCGCTCCAGGAAGGGCAGGACTGGAACAGTAATCACAGCCAGGTATCTCCCCACTAGAGTCTGGTAGGCAACACACAACCAGGACTCCCGGACTCTCCAGTTAGAGGAGAAAAATGTGCCTAAATTCTTGAGATGGGAGGTTGGTGACCATGTCCCTTCTTCTATGATGGAAGTGGCGAGCCTCCTTTTTGAAGAAAAGACCTCTGAGTCTGATCTCAGAGGGGCAGGGTGGCCTTAGCTCTGATGTTCCCTTCCCGCCACCATATTCGCAATGATTAAATCTGCCCTTATGCTCAGGCTTCACCCTTGCTAAAGCATGAAGGCTCTGAGCAAGTTAACACTGTCACTCATTTAAGCAGCAGTTGTTCTTGGGCAGGATATCTGGGCCAGGCTTTGCTGGGCAAAGGGGCGACAGCATAGGAACAACTCTGGGCAGGTATGTGTAGGAGAACCTGAGGTAGAAGAACAGGAGGTAAATGGGACATAGAGCTGAGGACAAAGGGTCTCCACTCTGTCCAGATGGACCTCAGGTGTGAAGCCTGGTGAAGGTGTCCTCAGACCGTGCACCTCTCAGTGGTTTGGGAAGCCAGATGCCAGCAGAACCAGAGTCCTGTTCTCACCTTGCTGTGTTTTGCCCAGATACATTTTGGAAAAATCCACAGTTCCTGCTGTCTATCTGGAAGCCTGAGGAGGGGAGGCAATCCCCGGGAACCTGCAGCCTGCTAGTGTCCCTGCTGCAGAAGCCCAGGCACAGGTGCCGCAACTGGAAGTCTCGCCTGGCCATTGGCTTCTACGTGTTCAGAGTAGGTGGCCTCTGGGGCCTAGAGTGTGAGGTCCAGCGTGGGGTCTCCAACAGATACCACTTTTTTTCTGGTCCTTGTCCTTTTAGCTATTTGTCCCTGTCCTTGGGACTGGGTTTAAGTCTTGGCGCTTTACTTAGTAATATGCAATCTAGAACAAGTCACCTCCTCGCACTTGAACATCAGTTTCTCCACCTGCCAAAGTTAATGCGAAGGTTGCATAAAAGAAGACCGTGTGGCCGCACTTTTCACAGTGCCTGGCTCATAGATGGTGCAGACAATGTTGGCTCCTTTCCTCTCCCAAGCAGCCTGGGGTTCCTTCCCCAAGGCTTCCCCCCAATTTCCCACCAGGGATCGGAGTGCCCAAGGAAGAGAAGGGACCCTTGAGGGGTGTCTTCTGTGTCAGATTTCATCAGGGTTTGGGGTCCTTCACTGCCTAACCAAATCTTTCTTTGTTTTCCAGGTGAGCAAGGTGAGGTCCACACTTGACCTTGACCAGAAGCCCTAGTTTGGACTGATGCCATTTTTTGTGACTAAGCCACTATGAGATTGGTTTTGACTGTAGCATCCTATGCAAGGAGCTGTGAGAATGTCTCGATAATGCCAAGTGTGTGTGTGTGTGTGTGTGTGTGTGTGTATGTGTGTGTGTGCGCGCGCGCACATGTGTGAGTAAGTAAAGAGCATCTGCTATTTTTTTTTTTTTTTTGGTCTGAGGATCCTGAAAAATCCTTACACTTCTTTAAGGAGATCTCGCCCAGCACAGAACCAATAAATTTCAGAATTCATTAAATCTCTGCATAAATATCTAGTACTAATATTAAAGGCTGTCACAGCATAGGAAGGATGATAAATGACAACCTTGCCTGAGCTATAAAGCCCATAATAAAATAGACCTAAAACATACGGAACATCAGGAGAACCACACAGCCCACCTACTCAGGGACAAGGGATAAAAGCTTGGGGAGCTGGGTGTGGTGGCGCATGCCTCTAATCCCAGAAGCTTGGGAGGCTGAGACAGGAGGATGGTGAGTTCAAAGCCAGCCTCAGAAACTTAGTGAGGTGCTAAGCAACTCAGTGAGACCCTGTCTCTAAATAAAATTAAAAAAGGGCTGGGGATGTGGCTCAGTGGTCGAGTGCCCCTGGGTTCAATCCTTGGTACCTAATAATAATAATAATAACAACAACAACAACA